ATAGTAATAATTTATGCTATCAATTAAAATTCAAAAACATTAATTGTGTGGCTGTACGGTGTTAATTAAAATTGATATTGTATACTAATGGTTTGTTAAAGCATTATTTCACAGTCCACTCAACTTGACCAACACTTTTGATCTTGACTATGATCTTTCATTAGTACATAATATTATTAAGAGTATGACAAAGATTAAAAAAGGTACGAGTACAAGCATAATGTAGAAAAGAAAATAAAAAAATAAAAAGGCAACGTGATTTCCTTACTTCAGCATACTAATTGCAGCAATTAACGTCCAAACTAGGAGTAACTAGTTACTAGTAATTTGCCTAGCCACCCTGGATCTAGCTCGCGTGACATCGCCTTGGCATGTTTCTGCGACCGCAACGGTCTAAGCTTACTGCGGCCTAACGAACTACTTATACAGCTTATATGGCACCTTACGACCTACATGCAGTTTTATAGAGCTTAGAAACCTGAAGTTCTCTATCGACCAATTAAACTGGTATTTCTACCACAGTAATTACTTTGAATCGCTGAATGTATTAATATTGTCCCATTCGACAAAGGATCATACAAAAAGGTCTTCATTGATTAACTAGACTCCTTATAAAAATGAATTAGACATTATATTATATCCTAATCACTTATTTTATCAATGTTTTTGTCATACAGAGTTAAAGAATGAAACTTTTTCACTATTTCATTATGTAATAATATTTTTTTATTTCAATTAATTTATGGAGTTATTTTGGAACGTGGGAAAAATTATCATTTTAAACAATAATTAAATTACTGTTTAAATTTTCTAATACAAGTAATGCGCGCTAATTGCTGCGGTAAAAAGCTTTATCAATATATTGATAAAAAAAAAATAGGTTTCTGTCACAGCTCATTACAAGTTTTTCTCTTAAAACTATCATCCATTGTATTCTACATCAAACAACGATCACAATGAGTTTTATCGATCTTTTAATTGACGTTTTCTTTAATAAGCAGAGAAATCGTAAACAAAATGTGCTGCATTAAAGTTGGGTGGCAATTATGGAGATTCGAAATGACACGAAAAAAGTATAAAAAGTATGAGTCAGTAAGCTCGGTAGGCGTGGGTATGGGAATATTCACACGTGTCTGTAACTGTACCAATGTCTCGGAGGAATATGGTGCATGAGCTAGAGCGGGGAGCGGGCTTCGAATGACTACAAAGGAAATTGTTGTAAGTATTTTTAAGTTTACTATGTAATTTCTTAGTGCTAATGTTCCTGCAATATTTTTAGCACATGACACTTAACATTTTCGTAGCAATAGAGCACCTTTATCTAACCCAAAGACTCAAGAGTTCACTCATGGACAAAGGTCTCCCCCAAGGATTTCCACTAAGACCAATCTTGCGCTGTAAGTTTACTGTGTGTGCTGCTACATTTTGGGTTGCAATAATGCATTTTCGTTGCAGTATAACCTTTCGAAAGCAACCTAAACATTACCATTTCTGGACAAAGGCCTCTTGCAAGGATTTCCACAATGACCGGTCCTACGCTGATTGTATCCAGACACTTCTGACAACCTTCAACAGGTCGTCGGTCTACCGAGAAACAATGAATATAATCACCTTTTACAACTTTCAAATATTTTACGCTTGATTTGCCTCATACTTAATTTTGATGTTTTAATCAAATAGCAGGCTATTTATTAAATCCTTTGCGGTGTTATATGAGTGTAATCTCTAACGTCTGTCACTGAAGTCAAGTTCATTAGTACAAGCGGAGCGATTTCACACGCTTTTTCTCCAATAATGTAACCTTTTAGCTTCACTTGCTTTGTGACATTGAATGGGCTGGGGCTCTTCATATCATTATATCAGTTTCAAAAGATTATCTTCGAACTTGATTCTTTTAGTCACGTTATTATACTCACAATTAGATTCATGGCTAGAATCACCGCCTAGAATCGAAGCTACAGATTCATTTGAATGCTTCGTTACATAATAGGTACCATTAAAACTTTTAGTTACTAATTTTAAGTAAATAAATACTCATTACTTCAAAACAAATGAAACTGGATCCGTTGATGTAATTAATCAACAGAATTTAACGCTTAATTGGACTTTCATTAAGTATATTACAGAGTAGAAAACTGATACAGGTTCTGGAGAAGGTTAAAGTATAAGGTCAACGGCATTGAAGAGAGGACAATGTGAATGTCAGGGGCTCAATAATACATATTTTAAATAAAAAGTAAATTGGATAAAATACTAGTTGCGGTAATGGAACCACACCCTTATTTAATTAGTTCATTCATATTTATCTTCACTTAAAAAGATAAGAAGAACAAGGAAAATTTTGGCTTTGTAGATTAAATGAGTGATTACTTTTGTGTTTACTATTGATTTTATTAAAGGTTGGTCAATACAGATCAATATCTGCTTTTGGTTCAAGGTTTTGCCTCTTCAAACCAGTCCCCGTCTCCGAAGAAACGTGATCGTGACAAAGTGGTGATCGATGTCCTATCTTAAAAGTCATAATAAGTAACGACATCAGTCATAGAGGATTAAAAGTAATCTAGTGGACAAATAGCAAGGTTTAAATTAAAAAATGTAGGTCAAAGAGTCACAAGTTTTTGATGTCCATTGTCTTAGGAATTCATAATTATTTTATTTGCAGTCTTCGAAAAAGGAGAAGGTTCTCTAAATCTCTATTCGTCTCTTTTTATTTTTTTTTCGTGAATAATTCGTTAATAGTGACTGAGTTTCTTACGCTGCGTCTTCTCAGCACTGGCATTTATTGCCCTGAAGCAGTGGTAGGGTTAATATTGGAACGTGTAAAAGTGCTTTTTAAAAAGCCTTCTTGCATAATTAATGAGTTTTATGAGTTTTTTTTACCAAAACCTCACATCTAAGATTCATACACGCTATAAATCCCAACATCAAATGCCACCATTTGAGAATATGCAGCCATGCCAAATCCGCGCTAATCCGTGCCATTACTCGTCACGTAATAAGAATATTCGCGTACATTACCCCACATTCGGGTAATCAGCTAATACTTGGCACCGTACTGGCTGGCGTGCCAGACCGAGTGGCGCGCAAATGTCAAGGCGGTCGGAGCCTGTTTCGCGTCTGGATGTGCGGTAACGGTGACGTCATTGCCGGGAGCCAGGTCGTCTCGTACGGATGGCAGTACATGGTATCTTAATGGTGGTAATAAGTGCGATTTTGGGACAAAAATTTGTGTGATGTGTGATGACGATGACAATACAGTAGGCAGTAGGTATGAAGTTTAAAATGACCAATATTATTTGCAACGCTTGGCACAACACAGTTTAGCACGCTTATTTCATTTGAATATCAAGTTTTAGTGGTCACTGGCACAAATGAATAAGAATATAACTCGCTGGTGATTTTTAACGCAAACGCGCGTTTATATTTTTCTTGCCAACTGGCTAGTAGCAGCTGATGCAAAGTAAGATGCGCAAATGTCAAGGTAACAGTAACCTATTTGTAATATCGGGATCTTCTTTAACTGTATCGTGCACGAGAAAATTCTGTTTACCTATACAAATGCCTATTAATAGTTTTTTACTGCGCTTGCTTTAACAGACCTGCTGTATGGGACTGTACCACGCACTACCACCCTATACATGAAAGATAATTACAAATTATTTTTTTTTTCACCAAATATTGTACCTACTCTTATTTCATAGTCCTATGAATCTTATACTGATACAATTATAGGGTAACTCTACATAATATCAGCTTATCTAACAACAACGAAATGAAAGTAACTTTATAAATTGGATAGGTCAGTAGTCTTCACTATCTTTATTAACCTTTCTCCTGTAAAAGTGAAGTGCACTAGGGATATAAATTTCAAACAATATTGCTTGCGCACATTTCACGCTCAACAATTTATTTACGCCACTCGATCGTCCGAGGAAAGACGGGCGAGTCACGAAGGCAATTAAATCAAGTTACGATTTGTGTATTTTTTATTTACCATCGCTCTATGTTGGCAACATTGTTACGTGGACTGGTTGTGAAAATTCTGACGATACAAAAACAAAACAAAATTCATAATTCAATTTCGATGTTACGCAATAAAGCTCTGTTCCAAATTTCAAAGTTGACAGCTGTCAATTGACGTTACCATCAACGACATTGCTAAAACAGTTGAGCGTCACGTGATGTGTCCACATTTTTTAATATGGTTTTCTAGCCAGTTTCTCGTACTTAACCCAAATTGGAGACAAGGAAGGTACACTCCACAGACTCCACACCCTATAGGTTATTTCTTCAACAACACTCGAGTAAATCGGTTTTTTCTCGAGCTTTGTTCTCGAGTCGGTATCTGTTATAGCAAAACAGATCCTATAACAACTCCTTAAGGATGCCTTTAAAATGCGATTTGAACTATCTTTGTGTTCTTTAAGATTAAAGATGACGTCATTGATATTGAGCTGTTAAGATTTGCGTGATCAATACTTTAGTTCAAAACATGCGGTTATGCACGTATTTTGTTGGTTAAATGTTTGAAGAACATAAATAATCGCTTTAATGCATTGTTTGTTCTATACATGCGTCAATATTACTCTCAAATTATTAAGTGTTGAATCAGTAACACTATTGTGATTTCATTTATTAATGTATTCTGCAAATAGAGTTGAACTCTTCCCCCTACAAAACGTAGATTCTCTAATTCTGCATAATTCTATTTAAAACTAGACCACTGGAGAAAACGACTCCTGAAGAAAACTAGAGGACAATGAGATCATTGGAGGATATTAAGATCAATACCACTGAAGGGTAATAAGGCCTCTGGAGGAAACGAGACTACTGGAGAAAACGAGAATACTGGAGGAAAACAAGATCACTGAAGGAAGAGAAGCCCACTAGAGAAAATAAGACCATTGGAGGAAATATGACTCCTGGCTGGAGAGAACATGACTACTGGAGAAAATCACCTCTTTAGAATGAGTACGGGGAAAAAAACAAAAGACACTCACCTTCCCAAGAAAGAACCGCCTGTAATACTTGGCGGTGTCGTCCGTGTCGATGTTGTGCCGCCGCGACGCCTGCCGCGGCGTGCCCGGCTGCGCGCGCGCCTCAGGCTCTTCGCCGTCCTGCGCTTCTTCTACGCCGTCCACCCAGTAGCCCCCGCTTGGAGGTTGCACTATCATGGGAGGGGTACCTGGGGACAAGGGGTGTTGGTTAGAAAAAGGTTAAAATTCAGTGATTACTCCCAATTCCAATGGAACAGCAGCGACGAAACATTCGAAACATTGTTCGGGAAAATTGGCAGTATTACCTACTTTTTCTTAAACTATCTACACATAGAATTTTCATAACCATGCATATTTTTATGTAACCTTTGACTATGCCATGCGAAATATTTACTACCTACTAAAAATGATACACAGCAAGTTGTGCTTCAAACGCATCCGTATCAAATTTTTAGTTCAATTCAAATTCTCCATGAAGTTAGCCCAACAACTTTCTTAGACTTTTGGCCACCCTTTCGCTTTACCGTTATAATATTCGGACTTCAGCAATCTTTGGGCCGTTTCTATACAGAAAATTGTTTGACTTCGATCGCTTTTCGTTTTGGACGTGACGGCATGCGGATCAGCGGCCAATTTTATTATTTTCGTGACGGCGGACAATGACGACACAGTTTTTGTATCAAAATACACCAAGGAAGTCACGAGCGCAATCATTTTTTTAGAAAACCCATAAGTTCGATGTTGTGAAAACGGTCGGCCTTCGAATCAAGAATGAGCAATTTTAACAAGGTTACACACAGAATTACAGATGCCAGTGTAACGAAACCACACTGTAACAAATTGATTGAATTAATTATCAGGCTGGTCTTAGTATTTTCCTGAATATTCATTTAACGTCCTTGTTTATACTAAACAGACAGAGCGCACGAGATTAGTGTTTTATTTTGGGCAAATTGTTTCTACATCGTATTTATTTCTGGGTAAATTAGTTTCATTTGTTCTAACAACTGTAAGCTTCGTAGGCGAGAGCTCTACGCCTACGTTTGTAATAAAATGAGAAAATATTATCAAACTGTTGTTATAATTATTTTTGATTTAAATAATAATTATAAAAATATACAACGCTATTATTGGAGCTATTTTTGATTTAATTTGCTAAACATTTTATAATTTTATTCTTGTTATTATGATAAGAAGGCCTGCTTTTACAAACTATGTTAGCATCTAGTCTTTACCTACTGTTCAAATGAAATAAGAAAATACATTTGCTACCCTTCTAATCATCAGTCCAACTAATCAGAAAGCTCCCCCAGTGGCATCTAATTTCAGACAAGGACTACGCCTGTCTAGAAAGGCTTTTGTCTGGGATACTTTTTAAAAGCTTTCAATATCACCCTCGGACTAGCAGGGTTGTCGCGTAGTTTGGAAAAATATTATCTGTTTATTTTGATTGAGTTTTTCGTTCTTGTGAATTTATATACGGCAGTCCATTTAAATCTACAAAAGGGTTTAATTACACACATTTTCAAGCATGTTCTAATATCTTAAGGTTCTTTGTTATGATTTCATTATTTCATGGGTAAAGGTATTGCTAGAATATTTCAGAATGATGAAGTCTGTTGGCTCTATAATGTTTTTAAGGAAACGCCTCAAAATGAAATATGTTTAAGATGTCAATAAAAGACAAACCTACGTTTCTATAACTTATCTATCACTTGCAGCAGTTATAAAGATGTACATAATATTATGTAAATTACAAATGCGTACAACAATGGCGCCAATAATTTATTCCTTTCGCATTTCAATCAAGGTCATAATTAAACACTTGCATTGTATTTACAAGTAATTACAGGTGTTGCGTGTTGGTACAACATTTTCATTTGTAAGAACAAGTTTCATGAATGGCGTAGTTTTTAGTTAAAGTACTAGTTATTGATGAGCATTTGAAAAAAATCATATCGATATTAAGAAACAGTAATAAATAAGTACTGACGCTAAAGAAACCAATTTATTGATGTTATTGTGACTTCATGCTACTGGCAACAAAAAACAAAGACTACGCATTCTACACTACTGAATCCTGTGCTTTGGAGTTTTGATTTAATTCCAATGGATTTATGAAGTTGATTTTTAACTCGACAAAGGATCGAATAATACTGGTTATCTAAACTACATTATGCTAAAAGAAAACATTCTTTTTTCAACACCTAACCTAATTAACCACCAAAGTTTTAACACTTTCATAGAATTAACACAACTTTTAATGAAAAGTAAGTACACGTCTACGCTACGATAGTTTCTCACAAATGAAATCCCAGAGGTCTTGTACAAATCCTTATCCGAATTGCAGTTCAAAAATATTCCGTTTTAAGGGTCTGGACTAGGGCTTGAATACCGGAATTCCGGAATTTCGTAACTCCGGAATTTCGGATACATTTTTTCCGATATTTCAACTCCGGAACTGAAGCCAATATCGTATTCCGATATTGAAATTTTTCATAAATTATTTAAGTTTTCAAAACGTTTAAGAATCAAAATAGGTTCTTAAATAAGGAAGTCCTTGAGATATGTATTCGCAACTTTATTAGTAATAATATTAAAGAGGCAATAGGGCGAAACCAAAGCTCCAAAATGTTCGCTAGAGACAACTCTAATGGGCGAAGCCAGCTGAAGAGAGCGGATGATAGAGTAAAACCTGTTAATAGCTCAGCCACAGGACAGTCCCAACAGCTAAGCTAACTCGACACTATACCGAAGATTAGCCGGACATCAGCCCTTACGTGATTAGGGTGGCTCTCAAACAGCTAAAGAACAACAAGGCACCGGGTGATGACGGAATAACCTCGGAACTTCTGAACGCGGCAGGTGATAAGCCGATACTGAAAGTCCTTCATAGACTGTAACTCCGTCTTACTCCAGGGAATAATGCCAGAGGCACGGAACAAATGCNAAATACTTTAACGATTTATAACCACATGCAACGGGGAGGCTCTTGGCCTGCATCTTACCTGATGGAAAGTGATGATCGGGTCGAAAGTTACAATGGGGATGTTGCCTGGGTCAAAAAGCAAGAGTTTTAATTAGTCCGTCAGTTAACTTATCAAAAAATACTCTACACGTATTTTTCACTTTTTCAAACTAATGAAAATTTAAAGAGATAAAGCGCCCCAAAGTTCATAAGAAGAGGCCCGTGACGTCAACGCTTGCTTAAAAATGCCGCACGTTGTGACGTCGTGCGCAACTTCAACGCACCATAACTATGTAATTATTTGTTAGATTGACAAATAAAAATATACGTGTCCAATATTTTTTGATATTAAACATTATGGACTAAAAAAATTTTTTTAGGCAACTAGCCTAATCCAGTTATCGAAACGTTTACACTACCATATACCGCATCTATACGCTACGGCAGGTTATACAGAAGACCGAAGAGTCTAACTTGCCTATATGCTTGGCGTTCTTAGACTATGAGAAGGTCTTTGAGCCTGGCTGAACACGAGGGCGATTCCTCTGCGATTTCTCTGCAGCGAGCTGTGAGGCAGGGAGATGTAATAATACGTCGAATTCAACTCGGCTGGGCAGCGTTCGGGAAACTACACAACAGCTTTTCGACCAAAACACTTCAGTGCCTAAAGTCGAAAGTCTACAATCAGTGTGTGTTACCAGTAGTGATGACACACGGTTCGGAAACGTGGCCTCTTACTATAAGGCCTTATAATAAGCTCAAAGTTGCACACCATGGTATGGAGAGTGCTATGCTCGGTGTTTCTTTTCGAGATCGAACCAGAAATGAGGAGATTCTTAAACGAACTAAAGTTACCTGACATATAGCGATCAGATTACCAAGCTAAAGTGGCAATGGGCAGGGCACATAGTACGTAGAACAGACGGCCGATGGGGCAAGGTTCTTAAGTGGAGGCCACATACGTGTACGTGTTTGTCGGGAGGCGCTTTCTTTTTTTAACCAACTCCGGAACTAGAACCGGAATTCCGGAGTTGAGTGCCCAATATCGGAAATCAGTTCCGGAGTTGAAAACTATCCGATATTGCAAGCCCTAGTCTGGACATCAGTAGCGGCAATCCTGCCGAGTCCTGTGGGACGCCATTGTCCGCTTCCTGTGTCCGCTTCATAAAGGACGGTTTCGTATGCAAAACTCCTACGGATTCTTTTTGTGAAAGAACAGTTGCTCTTTATTACGAGGACATGGTTAATACTTTGGGTATACAGTCAGTACAGAAGTAAGTAAGTATAGTAGGAATAGTTACTGGATACTTAAATAAATAGTAAATTAACCACAAAATTGTATTTAGAATCCTAGCATTTAGAATGAAAACTAAATAAAATGCGGAAGCAACTTCTTTGCCTGCATGTGTAAAGTTGTTAAATTTTTACAAATCGTCTTTAATCTGTAGGGTAATTTTTGTATCCAAGCATAAAATCACAAATCGTTCAAAAAAGGGTCAAAACACCAGAAAATAAATGCGAAAGCAACTTCTTTCCCTATCTGTCTCCTATTTATTGCATATTTACACCTAAAGCCATCTTTATTTCCATTTTTATGACTAAACCATAAAATCAAAACGTCGCGCGAGTGGTTTAAAATATTATCAACTTTTTTACATAAGTAGAATCAAATGTCTACCGGGATAGTTACTCTCCAGTTATTTAACAATTTATTATTGTTAAAATAAGCTTTTCCATGCAAGTTATTAATAAATCCAGCCGAAATACTCACTCGAGACGTCTGTAACTTACGGATGTGTATTTTGGGGCAATTGTTTCTATTGAGGGATCAGCTGTAACTCTCTAACTCCGCCTGCCTTGTTCCAAGTAAGTCGGCTAACTTTGGTTATTATAAGCCCAGTGTATGTTTTGGGAAGAAACGGATTTGTCGAAGGGGTACGGGAATAGACTGATTATATTTATGGCTGGAAGATTTCACGGTCATTGTTGAAGAAGATATTGTTTTAGACGTAGTTGAACATCAATATTCTATGAAGTATGGAAGAGGCATTTCGTAAAATATTTGACGAGATATTTCTGTAAACAGACGCCATCTAGTTTTTAAAACTACAAGTCTAAAACAATCTTATTGAAAGTATTACATTTTTAATCGCTAAAAATGTCTACCCTACAAGTTCTCAGAAGCGCATTTCCTATGCTCAGAGAAAGCCGCCGCCTTGATTTCCCAAGATATGCCACCGCAGTGCCGTCTAATTTAATTAACCATTTCAACTAACTAAGCAAAGCAACTTTTCTTAAGAATCACCCTTTGCTTTCCCCTGAAAGAGATCTTTGATATTTCATTTAATTATTCTTAGTGTTAATTTTCTTAGAAACTGTAGTAATAGTAGTCAGAGATTTTAAGGGTTAAGGTTTCAACCACAAATTACAGTTTGAAACAATTTATGATTTAATAAACACAAAACTTACAAACGCTGGCCAGCAGTACTCATCTGATATTCATTTAAAAATAAATCATCGGGTAAAAAAAACAAAAGAATAACAAAAATCTGTCTATCGGGTCTGTTAAAGTATCATGTTGCTTTTACTGATAATAACATCCAGTATTATGTAAGGCACTTACAAACTATTACAGTCAAAAATGCCACTTTAAAACTACAAAAAACTGCATGACTCACTCTATTGTCAACTTGGGTGCGATTTCGAGACGTGATAAAAGTTTTGACATCTCGATGTTACCGATTTCCATGGTGTTTCGTGCTCGTGAATAATTTTGAATCGATTATATCGGTTCATGACCGCCCTAATAATCGACACGACGTCGATTTGACAACAATGTGATCACGAATGTGTAGGCGTTAATAGTACCTTAGGTAGGTAGGTACTAGGTACTTATTTGGAAGTGAAAGGACTGCTGTAGTTTTTATGCAATATCATTCGTGAGACAGATTATTATCATGGGCAAATAGAGTCTAAAAGTCCTTGGGGTTTGCTTTCAAATATTAAAATAATATTTAACATTTACAATTTTAGAGTAGGTAAATCTAGATTTATCTGGAAAGGTTTGGCTTCTTTTTTATCACAACTACTCAATTTTTATTGGTGCTAGTAAAATAAATGATTCAAAATCAGTAACTGAAATTGAACTTAACAAATACAACTAATCTTTACCTTTAATATCAGTAGTTTCCTATAAACCAACGTGAATAAAATATAGCTCTTCTATCCATTAAGTATGTATAAAAACAATTACGTCACTCAGTTCAAATATTTGTAGTGGCGTAAGAAGTAAGTACAACCAAAACCACGTACTTAATAATTTTTTGTAAACTTTTTTACGATAAATATATCATAAAGTTAAGAAAGTAGATTGTTACCCAAAACCTCCACAATTACAAAGCTCACGTGACACGAGGCTGAGTTGTTACTTTGATAAACAACCGCTGCGCAGTTTCGTTCAATGAGCACTTCACCCATGGGAACCAACTTTTTGATGTCACGTGACGTTGCCGAATTTCCTTTATCTTACTAATAAAAATCCTACTATTATTACCTAACGCGAGTGAGAAAAAGTGGGTTGCACCATCTTACTTAAACTTTGACAAACGTCAAAAATCAATCGAACTCCATACAAAAAACATCGGTTAATGTTAAAGTTACGGTCAAAGTGCGGTGGTGTAACTCAACCTTAAAGATGTAAATCCCAACTAATATTATAAATGCGAAAGTAACTCTGTCTGTCTGTCTGTCTGTCTGTCTGTTACGCTTTCCCGCTTAAACCTCGCAACCGATTTTGATGAAATTTGGCATAGAGATAGTTTGAGTCCCGGGAAAGAACATAGGATAGTTTTTATCCCGGTTTTTGAAACAGGGACGCGCGCGATAAAGTTTTTCTGTGACAGACAAAATTCCACGCGGGCGAAGCCGCGGGCGGAAAGCTAGTTATGTATAATTATTTCATCATCATTTCAGCCACAGGACGTCAACTGCTGAACACAGGCCTCCCCCAATGATTTCAATATTGACCGGTTGGTAGCGGCCTGCATCCAGCGTCTTCCTGCCACCTTTATGATATAAAGTATATTTATAGATAGATATATTTTGAGACCCGGCGAATAACAGGACAGTTTTATCCCGGCTTTTTGAAAGGGCACATACGCGCGATTACGACTCTATCACGGAACAAAATTCACGCGGACGGCAAAAGTTGCTCTGCTATTACATAAAGACAAATGCATTCATTGAATTTCCATTCAAAACTATTGAAAAGAAAATTTTCTGAATTTTTCAGAAAGTGACTCACAATCGATTTAAACTAAAGCCAACTTTCACGGGCGGTTCTCAACATTTCTTCACTTTCTCGAGCGGTTGCCAACAATGATGAAAGTTATCGCCATTGTAACTCACTCGTGTCAGTCCGTAATGTTTAATATCAAAAAATATTGGACACATATATTTTTATTTGTCAATCTAACAAATAATTACATAGTTATGGTGCGTTGAAGTTGCGCACGACGTCACAACGTGCGGCATTTTTAAGCAAGCGTTGACGTCACGGGCCTCTTCTTATGAACTTTGGGGCGCTTTATCTCTTAAAATTTTCATTAGTTTGAAAAAGTGAAAAATACGTGTAGAGTATTTTTTTATAAGTTAACTGACGGACTAATTAAAACTCTTGCTTTTTGACCCAGGCAACATTCCCATTACGCTTGTGCTTTAGTTCTGAGTTTTGACCATTCATTCTCACATTTTGAAGCGCTGTATAAAATCAATCAGCTTTGAATATGATTAATAACCATTTTGGCAGGCTGATCTATATTTATTGCTGTTACAATAACGTATCTTAAATATCCATAATTTAAAAGTATGGTCATATCATATTAAATCAAAGCAAATTGTTTTACCTATTAATCAATAGAAATATCAACAATGTAAAAGCATACCAACTCACTCATTTCTGTAAATAAACGATGACGACTTAGCTCTTACTCAAAATCCATACAACAATGACGAAATATTTTAAAAGTCAACAATAATAGATAAAATGACACCATTAACTAATTAAACATTGAGACTCGCTCTTATTTCAACATTTTTTATAATATATTGTGCAATTCCCACAATCTCATTTCAATGCTTAAATAAATGGAGCACAGTGCGAAAATTACTTAAATTAGTGCAACACTTGTAACACAGCATAAAAAGTACAGCCAGCACGAGTAGGTATGCCATGAAACTTGTAAATTGTGCCACTGAAGAAAAACTTAGTTTTCCTGACTGAGCCTGTAATAATCCTGACAGATCCAATTTCGTGAATTTTCCGTAGCAAAAAACGGTTTCAAAGTACCTAATGAACTTTTTTGATGTCATTTAGAAGCAACGATTAGTCATCATTCATTCATGCCATCCATTTTACAAACACATTATTATTTCCTAAAGATGGTGATACACATAAGACCAAAAATATCATAATGATGTGGCTGTTCTCCTCTAGTTAATAGGTACTTGTAACTAAAATAATTTCGCTTAGGCATTCATGCTGACTGCCTCTAATTATGTTTGGCCAGGTCAACAGACCGTTTATGAGTTAAAACTTTTTATATAAGAATTTTAACGCGTCGGTGTAGCAAGAACTTAAATTTTAAATATGGCGTCGAGAAAATGTTAACTGAGATTTACAGGTAAGAGTTTAGTAAACTGATTTAACTGATACATCATTCTTAGCTTAGTCTCAGAAATATGAGCTCAATTTGAGCTCTCTCATTACAGTCTGGCTGAGCTCCAAATTACGTGGAAAATCAAGACAATGGTTCTGCAGATATTAGGTAGACTTGCCGATTCCAAAATGCTGCAGTTACAATTGCAGTAATTAGATTTTAATTGACATGTAAGATCTAATTTACGTTAATGACAAATGCAAATGTAATTTTTTAAATAACATAATGTGAGTCTGAAATATACAAAGTATGGTTTAATTGCATAGGCAGAAAAACAGGTAGCCCGTTACACTGATGTCAAATAGAGGCAGTGGTTTCTCTAGCACAGACACAAATGGATTCGCAATTAAATAGATTGAAGGATGAACTGTTGCATTCCATTTCTATACAAAAAATCTTACAAAGTGATCTCTTAGGTTTTGATGGTGTAGGTAGTGGAACAGGTATAGTCAGTTTTTCATTAATATTAAAATAAATAGTTGTTGACATTCCACCAGCTCGCACTAAGCGTTTCAATGACTCTTTTATAATGCGAACAGCTAGGGACTGGAATTCGTTGCCTGCTGCTGTCTTTCCCGAAAACTATAATCCGGGCCTCTTCAAGGCGCGAGGGAATAAGCACTTACAGGGCAGATATGTACCATCCTAAACTGCATCCCACTTAATATCAGGTGCGATTGTGGTCAAATACCTGCCTTGTTATGCATTAAAAAAAAAATAAGCATCAAATGACACTAGATAACTTACCAGGCTTCGCAAGCGTCTCCTCTAGCAGCTTTCTGCTGGCCTGGCAGGCGGCGGCGACCCGGCGCTGCGCCGCCGCCGCCCCTGGCGAGGGAGGCGGCCCATGGGGCGCCGGCACCCGCCCCTCGGCGTACGAGTGCCTCTCTGTGGCGCCCGCCGCCCCCACTGACACCGACCGACGATTCTCGGGCCGTGACACCTGGAGACAAAGATTGACAGATAAGATGCATGGTTTTATGCCTTTGCCTGAGTGCAAGAAAAAGGTTGCAGATAAGGCTGAATGGCTTTATGCTGTTGCTTGAAAAAACAATGGCGGGAATTAGCGGGTTTACGCCACTTTGAGAAATATGGCAGAAAAGTCTTGTTTTTTCTATTCCGTAAGCAAATTGCATTTTTCTATTTTTGGGAAACAGATCTTAAGTAGTTTGTCGATGTCTTCTTTTTAGAAATCTCTGCTTCAGCTAAAATATCAAAGGAAATCTATTTGTAGCTCAAAAATAAACATTATAGAGCGCTTCGTTGCACACACGTAATGCATTCAATATGCAGTTGGTGGTCGATCAAACCCCAATAGACCTCCGTAATCAAACGAAACATTAGCTGCGGATCAAACGCATTAATTGACTCGTTTGTTATTCCTGTTGCGGTGATTTAAAATTGGCTATTTGGTTCCCTCAAAGAGCCTAATGTACGCAGCAACCGTGACGGGAGCATCGAGCGTCGACCTCGGCCTCACCGTGGGATCCCATCATTGTTACTTTTCACAATAACTGTACACCACTCCGTTTCGCGGTAGACCCATTTGGATCGAAACCATTTTAAGAACGTGCCCCGGTTGTAATCGTAGCGGCAATCTCGAGCAAATTGAATTTGGGAGCATGATCTGTGAAGCCACCGTCTGAATATTTGCTTCGGAATTTGGTCACAGTTCAATGCAGAAATAGAAGTGATCACGCACGACCGCCGCGTCAAATTGAGAGTGTGAAACAGACAAATGAATGCTTAAATGCTTCATCTTCGAAACAAATGAACGTTCCAAATTGAAATACTTCATTCTTTTTTATGGCCAGTCAGGTTCCATCACATCAATTTTACAGTTCATATTTTTTAACAAAGTATCGCTGTTATTGAATTACGTAGCCTTGAATTACGTACCTATTACAATTTCGGCAGTTCTCGACAACTTGTGCCATTTTTTGTCAAAAAAGTTGTAAAAATCAACTTCTTTCACGTCTACGATGTAACTTTGGTGATTAAGCAAGGAAAGGTATCCAGGTGTCGCCAACGGTGCAATCATTTAGCCGGGCCGATCCGATCCGACCCGGATTATAAATCGGTGCCGTAAACACCATCAAAAGTTTAAAATTGGAAGCCGACGGAAGCATTAGCTGAACTGTTGACAGCAACTCGAAACAAGTAGCGTGGAAAACGCCTCCCATTTTCACTTTGATCAAATAATGTGACGTCACTACCACCATGTTTACGCCTTCCGCGCAACCGTTGAAATGGTACACGTTATATTTAAACTGGGGTAAACAAACCGTTAAAATAAAATTCTAATTCTGCAATATCTGATGGTTGATATAACAGTTGATCGTTCTTTTCGTCGCTCAAACCGTTTGAAATAAATATTTAATGAACGGTGTTACAATTTTCTTTGGAAAAGTCAGCAAAGTTCAGGGGTTGTCGAATGGCGTGACGTGACAAATCAATTATACAGACGATCTCGATGTCTAAAGAAATCGATTAACGGAGTTATAAATGTAAAATTTATATTCCGTGGCTTTTACGACTGAATTAACTCAATAAAATCTCTTTAGACGCACCAGTTTTGTAGTAAGTTAATTGGCGTAATTACAGGTTTATTAAGCTCCATCCGGCAAGTATACAAGCTGAAAAATATATTAATTCACCCAATGATCTTTTAGAAATTAGCAGGAAAAGTGTGTGTTATTTTTACTGCTAGAATACCCATCTTATAATCATTATAATAACGAATATCCGCCGTACAAATTGCTGTAAGATTGTAACACCAATCATTTATGTTGATATGAATAATTCTATTCGTAATCCAATGATTTGATATGTAAATTACATGCGAGGCAACGCTGTCAGTCATTTTGAAACGGAACAAATATTGAAATGAGGTAAAAAAGCGTAATTATGAAGATTACGCGGGCACGTCTGTACCCCAAGCACGAAAAAGTCTCGTTATCGTAGAGCTGTTATTGTCATGACAACGGATTGTTTGCTGTCACAAGAGATAATAATATTTTTATTCGTTTGCGTAAATAATGAAAAAAAAAACAATGAAAACAAATGAAAAACGGTTTAGTATATTTTCTCGTTTAATTATGAAAATTAATAACTAAATTGTTTTCTCTTTTAACAGCAAACAATCCGTTGTAATGACCATTAATAAAGCTCTACGATTACACGATTACGAGTTCTTCGTACTTGGAGACTGTAATTTTACGGATTTTGTGTATCGAATGGCTGTGTTGTGGGGTTTCTAGTCCGGGACCGACAATGCTAATCCTTATGACATTTGTCATCAAAGTCAAAGTCAAAGTCAAAGTCAAAGTCAAAATTTCTTTATTTGTTTGGACTAATAAATAGTTCTTACAAATCGTCATTTTGCTCTTAAGGAGCCTCGATCATCAAGGAGCCATCGATATTTTAGTGTACTCGTGTAACTATTAGGAATCCGTATTGGAATAGTTTTAACGCACCAAAACTACTTATTTCTAAACTCAGTATAGTTGTTGCAATTCACAAAGGCGAGTGAGCTTTACATGTGAGGTTAGGGTTGCCAGGCGTCCGGATAAAGCCGGACATAGTTAGGCTTTTTGATTGCGTGTCCGGCCAAAATAACCGATGTCCGGCCGGCCGGTTAGAAGATGAACCTTTCAGAAGTCTGAAATATGCTCTTAAGCCCGGGAATGAATGAAAAGCATTTTATTGCAAAAGAAAGTAAAACTACGAATTTATGAAATAGTCGAGACAGCAGATCAGCCTATACATTTAGCATTGCAAAATCGCTCCTATCACAAGTGTATGTATAAAGTGCTCTAATGTATAACTGGATGTGCAGTACACAAATAACCCTGCAAATAATCCCATAATTCCCGTGCTGGCTCATTAAAACTGGTGGAATGAATGAAAGACAAATTCTACTCTCGTTGCTACAATCCTGAAATTTGGGCATTCATACCGGATTTTAGCTTTGTAACTAAACTATAAACCCAAATAACGAGTATAAGCTGTATCAATACGCCGGTTTTATGTTTTGAATATGACTGGCAGCCAAATAAAGGCCAACGATTCCTGATAAAATTTCAGCTCAATTATTCTAACTAAGCCTAGGTGCGCAAACCACAGACTTTTTGTCGACCGATAGTGGGACCCCATTCTAATTTGTATGAAGAATCGGCCGATACCAAATCGGTGTCATGTGTGCACTCTCATACATCTCCATACTGATTAAAAGCCCAACTCAAATATCGTCCAACTAAAAGTTGGTGCTCTGCGCTTAGGCTTAAAGTGCTTTTTAAAAGACGACATACAGAAAATAGTTTAATTTATATGTAACAAATTGGTTTGGAATGATATATGTAACGTTATTTGTTATATGTAACAAATGATGGTTGGTGGTAACTTTATTTACCAGATATCTCTGCTGTGAAACCCAATATAGTATGTTATCTGTCAGCTAAATTCTTAATTGACTATCAGGAACTTTGTCAGCATGTGGTGAAAGAGTTAAAGGCTATACGATGCTAAACACTAATGAAAGAGTTATTTATTTTTTAACAGTTGCATAAGCTTGACATGAAACATCTGTCTTTAAAGCGATCCTTGTTGCGTTGTATTTAGGTCACAATATTTAAGAGGGCAGAGCATAATATTACAAGATTCTAGAATGTACTTACTTCTTTTGTTTTTTGGTACCGTCTTTTTATACATTGGACATTTTCGTTAATGTTTTGTTAATATCTGAGCAATGTTAGGCTTTATTGTTATGAAAGATAAACCCTACACTTCACACATTACTTTAAAAAAAACGTTTTTATGAGTTTCAATTCATAATTAGAAAACAAGAAAGTAGAGTCTTTTCATGCAACAATAATAGGAGTTATTATCTGAACTATTTATTTATTATATCGAAGATGTAATTTTGAACACAAAAGAAAGTTAACATGAACAAGAACATTGCAGGTACTATTAATAAGTTATCTAATAAGTAATTATTTACTGGAGAAATCTTTGTTGTATCGTTGTACCTGACCAAACCTTGTTACACTTCTGACCCTATCTCTACGTAACAGAGCTCATTATAGCATACCGTTCTGAATGGCCAGGCGGAGTAATTAATTATAATGAAACATTAGGTAAGTTTTCGTATAAAAAGTAGCCATTTCTTTTGTAGCAAGAGTAGATTAATTATAAGGTATTATTCATAATTTAATTTTACGGAGAGACCTGTATACATTTCAATTTAGATACTTCCTTCTACTGTTATTTTGGAATTGCCCATTATTCATACTACGAGTGTAGAAAGGTAGCAATATTATAGACATTTTCAAATTGTAATTTTATTTTTATTACACTTCATTCAATAGTTTCTTACCTACGTCATCGTTCAGAGTTCTTTCTTTTAAATTTTCATTGTATTTCAGGAGTTTCACTGCTCCAAAGAACTCAACCTTCTTAGAATCCCGCAAAGATATAAACCAGTACTGGCCACTTTCATTCTCATCTTCCAGCAATTTAAAAAGAAAACTGTTTCCATCTTTTTTAAATGAAGCAATATATTCTAAATTCAAACGTTTAAACGCCGAATTTTGCTGTACGTGCACCGTTGCAATGGCGTCGCCGTCGATGATTGGTTTGTGATGGGAAGTAAATTGCTTCGATGCGGTCCCCGTTCGCATTGGGCAAACTGTTGGCCCTATTCAACCTGCCGAAATTTGGTATTGATTTTGTTTTGTGGTCTGTTTAGAACAGTAATAGGTCATCTCGGTGAAATGGGTTGAAAATAGAGTTGCTACCTAGTTTTCAATATTACGAATAGTCGAGGTGTCTGATAGAAATAGCTTTTCAGCGAGAACTTATTGTGCTACTGTTTGCTGTAATTGTCAGTTTACTTTACTAAAACATATCGCACCCTTAATAATATAGGGGCACAACTCAAAATTT